TTATTATTCCCTTCCATATATTTTCTTCTGATTTAACTCACTGTTCTTTTTCTAGCTTCTTGAGCTGTAACCTTGGATGATTGATTTTCAGTTTTCTAATATATACATCAAGAGCTAAAATTTCTCTCTAAATACTGGCTAAGCTTCATCTCATAAATTTTGATATGTTGTGGTTTTAATATTATTCAATTAAAATATTTTCTAATTGTCTTGGTGACTTAGAAGTGTATTGCTTAAGTTGCAAATATTTGGGGATTTTAAATTTATCTTTTTTGCATAGTCAGTGTATATGGTGCTGCCACTAATTTCATGGTTTTTGGATGCATGATTACTGTAGCCAATTGTTATTGATTAAATTGATTAATTCAATTTTGGTATTACTTGTTGGTGTGACTTACGAACAAATAGTCCTATAAAGAGGGTGGGAATTTATTTTTCTCACTGTCGACTTTGGCTCCTGAAAGACTTTTGCAGGCTCAAAGTGTAAAAAATATATAGGAGTTCAAGGTTCTCAAGTGCATCTACCCAGATGGCACCCTCCTAGGATCAGGGTTTTACTTCCTCTTAGGGGCACTATCTTTAGCACTGAAGTTTTGTCACAGCTGTGAATTAAACTTTTTCTAGAATTCTGCTCCTCTCACAATCTGATCCTGGGCCTGTTTTTCAGCTTGATCCTCCTTGGGTTCAGGAACAGAGATTTTTTGAACGTTAGAGTCCCCTGGCTTTTACACTGTATCTAAAATTGGTGGTTGGTGAACTGGGTCTTACAGGTTATTGGGAAAAGCTGCTCATTGAGCAGGTGTCTCATAGAGGGACTCTGCTGCAGTTTTCTTCCTACAGCTTATCAGTGACTTTTTATAGCAATCAACTCATTCCATAGTTCTTTAATTATCCTTGCAACTGTACTTCTCAAATATTAGAGCTATTGCATTAGCCTGTTGTTTGTGCGTAACCTTCTACTGGAATGCCATGTCAGCTCTCAAGTAGGAGTCTTAGTCATTGTGATGCTGTAACATGCCAGGAGTTATTACCACTTTGTCTACCATCTGCCCAGTGAGTGATCCACTAGAATCCTGTCCTGAAGATATGCTTCTCGGTGGTAACTGTTAGTTTGGCCACCCTCCCCTCCATCACCCTGAAGCAGAAGTGTCTGCTTTCACACTGAGCGCTGGGCACATGTGGTATACCTGGGAGATGCTGGGACACTGACAGAGTAGTACACCAGTAAGTAGCCAGTAAGAAGTATATTATCAAGTCCACTACCACAGGGGGCGACCAGAGCTTAATCCCATAAGGAAGTACTGGGGGGAAAATGCACTGCAGTGTTATCCTAACAAAGAGGTAAAAGGAAGCTTGGGAGTATGTACACTCTTACCAAATCATTCATTGGCTAGAAATCATTCATTCTGGGAGAATGTTGGTTTATAGGCACTTTCAGCTCATCACATGCAGAGGAAATGGGGTTCTAGTGGCCAGAGGGCAGTCCGCTGAAGGCACTCTGCTGCAGAATTTCCTGAGGGGAGGTGCTGGGAGGAGCCTTTGGTAGCTGGGTTGCTGGCTGTCACAATCTATAGGAGCCTAGTCCTGGAGAAGCCAAGCTGCAGGAGATCGTGAAGTAACCCTGGTGCACTCTGTTGACAAAGCATGACAGCTTTAACATCAGGCCATCTGACAAGAAAGTATTTACAGGGCCCAGATCCGTTTTCACAGAGTAGGCAAACTGGATTTTGAGGTGACAGGCAATGGATAATTGGCACTACCCTTTGATTATTCAGCTTTTTAATGTTTTTTTCTAAACATATATGAATTCCCCTGCAACCAAACAGCACTGCATTTCTTTTTTTTTTTTTTTTTTTTTTTTTTTAAAGATTTTATTTATTTATTTATTTGACAGAGAGAGATCATAAGTAAGCAGAGAGGCAGGCAGAGAGAGGAGGAAGCAGGCTCCCCACTGAGCAGAGAACCCGATGTGGGGCTCGATCCCAGGACCCTGAGATCATGACCTGAGCCGAAGGCAGAGGCTTTAACCCACTGAGCCACCCAGGCGCCCCCAGCACTGCATTTCTATCTAAGAAGATACACGTCTTCCTAGTGAAGTTCTCACCCTTCGTCCAAAAGGAGAGAGTATGCAGTTCGAAGAGTCATTATATCTATGATTGGCTGTATTAATTACTCTTTGTATTCAGTCATAGTCATACTGAATATGCCATTATCTAAAGTCTAAATTGTAAAGTTAACTTACAACAACTTGTATGTAAAGTAGAAATGTGGAGAGAAGATATACACATAACAAGAAAATAGAAACTATGCAAAGCTGTTATGATCTTTGTTTCTGTAATGTGTTATAAGATGGTAATTGCTATCTGAGGTTTTGTTTTTCCACTCCCTATTTTTATTTCTCCTGCTCTCAGCTAGAGTTTCAGGTTGTTGGAATTTCACCTGGTGGAGTGACCAAAACCCGATGGATTGAGTTCTCAGTCCCTGCTTTGGTTAGATATTTTTAATGGGTCTATCCTCATCCTGTTTTAGCTCTGTTTAAATGTGCTGTGTTTAAGTGTAAACCTGTGCCTCAAATTTTCAATTTTGATTTTGGTAGTTTTCAGTATTAGTATATATATTATTATTTTTTTCAAATATATCTTTTACCTTTTACAGTTTTTAATTAAGTGCCAAAATTTTAAGTCTTGTCTTTTGCCTTTTTGAGCTTAGTAAAGTATATTTATTTTATAGGACAGGTCTGACAGTCTCTGTAATTGAAGTATCTTCAGGTCTCTTCCTGTTGTCCCTTTGTTCTTATTTTGTTGTCTTGCATCCTCATATGTCATAGTATCTTAGTATCTTTAATCATGCTAGACATTTTACTTGAGAAATTATTGGTAGAAATAATTTGAGGTCTAGAATAATGTTACGTTTCTTTAGAGAGTATTTTTTGTATCTTGTTAGGAACTTTGGCATACTAGCAGTTCCGGTAACTCGTTAAGCCAGTTCTAAGCCTTGAGGTTTTCTGCTGTCCAGTTGACTCATAGCTAGGCTTCAGTCCACATAGGGGCTGGTTTACTTCTGGTACAGCCTTACCCTAATTACTGGTCATTGTGTCTCAGTTCACAGGGCCATATTGTTTGAGCCCCTACCTTTCATGAGCCATTGCCCTCAACTGTTATCTCCCTCCCTATCTTAGGCTGCCAAAAGCACTCAACTTTTTGATACTGTCTTCTAAAGAGGCAAGTCTTTCCAGAGCAAAAGCAGCTCTGAATGCCTGCCTCTTGAATTTGTAACTTCTGGGTCTTGGGTTGGTAGATCTTACCATTTTGTTACTTATAAGATGCTTTTAAGATTGTAAACATTTTCCTTAGCTTTTTAAAGTTGTTTTCAGTGCAGGATTTGTCTGAATTATCTTTTTTTTTTTTAAGATTTTATTTATTTATTTGACAGACAGAGACCACAAGCAGGCAGAGAGGGAGGCAGAGAGGTGGGGGGAAGCAGGCTCCCCACTGAGCAGAGAGCCCGATGTGGGGCTCGATCCCAGAACCCTGAGATGATGACCTGAGCCGAAGGCAGAGGCCTTAACCCACTGAGCCACTCAGGCGCCCCTGGTTTAGAGATTTTTAAGTGAGGTAACACATACGTGCTTACGTAGGTCCTGACACATAGAAAATGCTCGATTTATTGTTACATTAATTTGAGAATATTGGAATTTTTCTTAAAAAACTTTTCCAAGCATGAATTAGCCCATTTATTGCCTAAAATCATCTGCAGGGATTATGAAAGATTTACAAATAACATTCTTATTGACTGACATTTCTGTCAACCATTATTTAGATAAATGAAATTTTTTTTCTAGTGTACTTAAGACTAGTCTATAAGGAAAATTTAATTTATCTACAACTAAATAATGACCCAGAGATTTATGTGCATATGTGTATATTATGTATATGTGTTTATGTATAAGTGAATATATAAAGACTAATCCTTGTGTGTTTGTTTCTGTGTGTGTGTATGTGTATATATATATGTACTTGCATATATTATATATAAAGGCTAAATAGGAAGGTATCTTAATTACTTAAAGTATGGTCTTCTGTGGATAAAACAATTGGGCTGGAGCTAAGGAGAACAAAGTGAAGTAGAACTGAGATTTTGTTTTAAATGTTTTTAAGTTCTAAAAACTGAATTTTTCTAATTGTCTTTTTTGTGTTTTAAATGGAAGATAATTATAAAACCTTGATTTATCCTATTTTTAGAATTGATTGAGTTTTTGGACTAGGTATAAAGTAGATAAGAGAAAATGATAATAAAAGCAGGCAGCCCCCAAACTCAGTAAAGTCTAGTGACAGCTACCTCAGTAATCCTGGTTTGTGGAAAACAAATACAGTGATATAATGGGACAGATGGTGACTATAGTTGGGGTGAACATAGCATAATGGACATACTGTTAAATCACTGAGTTGGACACCTAAAACTAATGTAACATTGTGTGTTTACTCAAAATAAATAGATAAAAAACTTATTACTTGAGAATAAATAACATGAGAACTGAAAAAAGCAAGACCAAAACCAAAAGCGAATATAGCTAACACTGTAAGTTCAGAATGGTATGTACATACACTATTTCTCTATTTCATTGATCTGCATCTTTTAAAGTTCATTTGACCTTCCTTTTTTTGCCTCCATCTTATTTTTATACAGAGGCAATTTAACAACATGTATTTTTGCATTAAGCATTAAGCCCATCAGTACAATGTTCGATCTTTCAGTGTGTTTTTTCACTGTGCAAAGTGAAACAGTCAAAATATGTCAAAGTTTAGAGAAATCCAAAATAAGTTCTTTTGAGATGTAGAGAGATAGATGGCAATATGAAAACTTTCCTAAAATAGGAAATTCCTCCCTATTGGAAAATGCTACATTCCATTTCTTTGGTTAAGTGTCTTTTTAATTTTCTTATGCTACTGTATGTTTTAAAGTTACTTTAAGGTAATTGTTTTCATGATTTTGTTTTCTAGGTTAACAGAACCTTCTGGATATTTAACAGATGGTCCAATTAACTATAAATATAAAACTAAATGCACTTGGCTAATTGAAGGCTAGTAAGTATATAATTTGGATTAAATTATTTTATTCTGAAATGATAAAGATGATCATTTCAGTTTTAAAGCACTACAGTATAATTTTATAGGTATATAGCTTGTTCAGTTACTTATCGTTCATTCAGCTATTATTCATGATATTTTAAAATGAGATTCGCAACTTTTAGATATCACATTTAATGTAAATTATAGTACCCCATTAACGAGATAATAGTTTGTTACATATATTTTATTTTTGAGTTATGTTAGTGTGGCAGTAAATCAAGTGGACACTTTCTGGCTTGCTTTAAACATCTTGTTATGGAATTTGAAGATGCCATAGAAAGTATAAAAATATTTCATGCTAAATTATGCCATTGGTTCATTCGATTCAGCATTTTAGTTATAAGGGCGTTAAAAAAAGAACATTTTGTAGGAGAGAGTTAATTATCTTTTTAGGAAAATTTTTCAGTAATTAGGGTTTGAGATTGAATCGATCTATTTAAACATGCTGTGAATAGATCATAAATGAATTGATAAAAGTTATTTTTGAATCATTTTCTGATTTTTACAGAGTGTATTTGGAAAATGTTTTTCTTTGGGGGGGTTATTTTAGAAAGTTTTTAGAACTTAAAAGTTACTAATTCCCTTAGCACTTATGGTCTCATTTTGATTTTTTGTGTTTTGTTTGTTTGTTTATTGTTTTTTAAGTAATCTCTATGCCCAGTGTGGGGCTTGAATTCATGACCATGAGCTCCATGCTCCACTAAGCCAGCCAGGTGCTCCCCCCTTTTTTTTCATTTTGTTTATTTATTAATATATCATTGAGACCATTTTATTACAATTTCAAGACCATATTAGAGCCTTTAGTTAATAAGCGTTGTGTAGAAATAAGAGTTGTTACTTCTTGAATGTTGAATTTTAAAAATAAACTTTATTCAAATATAATTTACTTATAATACAATGCATATTAACTATATAGTTCAACATGGCTTCAATAATGTATACAATCTCTTTAATATCCCCTTTAATCAAGACCTAGAATATTTACTGCTGACCAAATTTTTAGAAAATGGTGATTTATATATGCAATCTGTTAATAGATTTTGAAGTTGTATGTCATTTTTACAATTCACTTATTTTTAAAGTTTTATTTATTTAAGTAATCTCTACACCCCACATGGGGCTCGAACTCACAACCCTGAGATCAAGAGTCTCATGCTTTTCTGACTGAGCCCGCCAGGCGCTCCTCATTTTTACAATTTAGAGAAGACTCTATCACTCTTTTACACTGGTAACTTAAGAATGTATACAAAATTTTCTATAAATAGTTTTTTAATACAGTACTCTTAAAATTTTTCAGACTCTGCTTTGAATGTTACATATTAATTAAATGTATTTAAATATTTTTTTCAGTCCAAATGCAGTGTTAAGATTAAGATTCAATCATTTTGCAACAGAATGTAGCTGGGATCATATGTATGTTTATGATGGAGATTCAATATATGCACCTTTAATAGCGGTTCTTAGGTGAGTAATAGTGTTTAATTGGTGAACTTACAGTCAGTTTTAGAACAGTAACTGTAATTTATTAATTTTAAATATATACTGCTCTGTGCTTTAAAATAAATTTAGCAGAGATATTGATGGCTAAATTCTAAGATGGTTATAATACAAGTTTGCATACTGTGACTGTCAACTAAATTTTGATTTAGTAACTCTTTCAGAAGCGTGTATTTCTTGATAAATATCCTTTATTCTTTCCACATATCATTTATTCTTTTAAAGTGATATGAATATGTTTTCAGAGATACCTGTTGGGTAGCTTTTTTTTTTTTTTTTTTAAAGATTTTTTTTTTTTATTTATTCATTTGACAGATAGAGATCACAAGTAGGTAGAGAGACAGGCAGAGAGAGAGGAGGAAGCAGGCTCCCCGCTGAGCAGAGAGCCCGATGTGGGGCTCGATCCCAGGACCCTGGGATCATGACCTGAGCCGAAGGCAGAGGCTTTAACCCACTGAGCCACCCAGGCACCCCTGTTGGGTAGCTTATTGTGAGCTCTATGTAACAAAGAAATAATAGGCAGATGAATATGTTTTTTATAGTTGTCTTTTTATTTTGGTGAAATGATAAAATTTCCAATTCTGTAAAAAAAGGTTAAGGTATACTTTATGTAATGACTTAATAACAAATGTGTTTCTTTCAATCTTGAATTGGGTTTTGGTTGTTTCACAATACTTATTATTAGTAGTCAGACTTAATTTTATTTATTTTTATTTTTTATTTTTTAAAAAATATTTTATTTATTTGACAGAGATTACAAGTAGGCAGAGAGCCAGGCAGAGAGAGAGGAAGGGAAGCAGGCTCCCCGCTGAGCAGAGAGCCCGATGCGGGTCTGGCTCCCAGGACCCTGGGACAATAACCTGAGCCGAAGGCAGAGGCTTTAACCCACTGGGCCACCCAGGTGCCCCCAGACTTAATTTTAAAATTAAAGTGTTTTCAGTATCAGTTTAAAAAATCCTTTCTGTGTAATACAAATTATTATAAAATGTTTTATGAATAGGAGAAAATATATTAGACATAGGAAATATTCGGATCATGTAATGTTGATTTGGTGTACAATTTAACTAAGTTTATTGTCTACCAGAGTTACTGATTAAATTATTCCTTATATTTCTTATTTCTATAATATTGCTTATATGTTCTATCATTGTTAAAATTTTGAATAAAGATAAAAGCTTATTGTTCCTGTCAAATTTTTTTTTTTTAAAGATTTTATTTATTTATTTGATAGACAGAGATCACAAGTAGGCAGAGAAGCAGGCAGAGAGAGAGGAGGAAGCAGGCTCCCTGCTGAGCAGAGAGCCCGATGCGGGGCTCGATCCCAGGACTCCGGGATCACGACCCGAGCCGAAGGCAGAGGCTTTAACCCACTGAGCCACCCAGGCGCCCCAAGGACTTGTATTTCTGAAGGAATATTTCACAGTGACTCTTTAGGATCTTAAACATAGTCTGTAATATTGCTATTGTTCTAAATACTTTTAGAATTTAATTTTTGAGTTGTTTGAAAATTATTTAAGGGGTTGCCACAGATAGCTCTTTATCCAAGGGTGATAGAAAATGGAATAGTCATATGAATAATTATATTGCAAGATAGTTTTTTGTGATAATTAGGTAAGATTCTGGGTTCATACATTAATTTTTAGTAATTTAGATTTTACTCAGATATCATTATTGTGTTTTTATGGCCCTTCCATTTGTTTTCTTCATAGTTGTAATGACTGCATTAATTAACAGTGATCCATTAACACTCTTTTTTTTTTTTTTAAAGATTTTATTTATTTATTTGACAGAGAGAGATCACAAGTAGACAGAGAGGCAGGCAGAGAGAGAGAGAGAGAGAGGGAAGCAGGCTCCCTGCTGAGCAGAGAGCCCAATGCAGGACTCGATCCTAGGACCCTGAGATCATGACCTGAGCCGAAGGCAGCGGCTTAACCCACTGAGCCACCCAGGCGCCCCTCCATTAACACTCTTAACAATGCTTTCTTGATACTAAAGGAAACTTTTGTAAGGTAAGGATGGGTTTTAGTATATGACTGTGAAGATGGAACCAGTGACTTTTCATTAGCAAATGTTCCTATTAGCTGTCTTGAAGGAGATGGAAAGATGTTTATTGAATATCCCCTTGATGCTAATCAGTGTACTGGGCAGTTTAAATGTCATCTAATTCTCACAGGGATCTTGTAGTAGAAGTGCTGTTATCCCCATTTTATTGTTGAGAAAATTGAGGCTCAGAGAAATTGCTTTACTTCTAATAGATGGTGGAGCCAGGATTAGGATGTGACAGTCTCTGGACTCAAAAGCCTAAAATACTACAGTTCAGAATCTAAGTGTTTAAATTGTTCCAGTTTCATAATATACATTTCTCAACAAAGACGTGATAACTTCCTCAGCTCCAGAGACTGTCATAAGCCTGGAAGCTATAGTAAGGAATAAGGTACAGGCATTGCAGTGAATTCACACACCAGCTGTCTAGAGTTGGGTCAGACTTCATAGTTGGGTGCCCCACCCTCCATAGGACTGCCCATAGTTCAGATTCCAGCTGCAGGTCCAGAGGTCCTCAAGCCCCACCCACACTTCTGACCAGATGGCTGCAGATTTAGGGGTGCCCACCCCCACCCTTCAGGTTCAGTAATTCACTAGAATGACTCATAGAACTCAGGAAACACTATACTTATGATTATAGTTTCATGATAAAGGTTAAAAATCAGGACCAGCCAAATGAAGAGACACATAGATTGAGGTCTGGGAGGATCACAGACAACTTCTGTGTCCTTGGGATATGTTACGTTCCCAGCATGCCAATGTGTCTCATCATCCAGGAAGCTTACCTGAGCTACAGGTGTCCAGAGTTTTTGTTGGGTTTCCGTTATATAGGCATGATTGGTTGAATCATTGGCCACAAGGTCGAACTGTCTCTAGTCCTCCTGCTCTCTCTGGAATTTGGATTGATTTCTTGTGGCTCAAAGCCTCAACCCTTTAATTGTATGTTGGTCTTTCTGGTGTGGCCAGCTCCCATCCTGAGTCCCCTCATTAGCATGAACAATCAGAGTTCCCATGAATAATGGAGACAATCCTATCACTTGGGAAATTCCAAGGATTTGGAGGCTTTATGAGTACACAGCAGTTTGGTACTGGTGGCGGCATGCACAGAGTTGTTTTTTTTTTTTACCCAGCATATAAGTATTGTAATTAGGTTATGAAAAGAGTGCTATATGATTTTAGAATTAACTAATTCTTCATGGTGAATTTCATCATGGGCAGAAGTAGAATAGACAAAGTATGGGGGCCAGATGGGACATTCTCGATAGAGAAAAACATATGTACAAAGACACAGATGCATTAAAGAGCTTTATGTTTTGGGCTAATATAAGTAGTTATGAGTAATTTGATCATAGGCTATGTGAAGGGATTGGTAGGAGCCAGATTACCCAATAAACAGTAATCATTACATCTACTGAATGGTTATTAGTGCCAGGCAGTATACAAGAGTTCCTTATATATAATAACTCATTTAATCTTCACAGTAACCCTTTAGTTAGGAATTATTATTGCCATGGAGTTTATAAATTCTCCATTCATAAATGAAGAATTGAGCACAAAATGATTCAGAGTGGTTCAAAGTTGCCTAGCTAGTAAGTAATATAGTCAGAATAATAACTCAGGTTTTATACTCCCTTATCACTGTAGTACTGCTTTCTTCTTTACCACATTAAGGAAATGGGGCTTTATTCTATAGGCAAGACTTTAGAATGTGAATGGATTGTAATAGAGAAGTGTTATTTTTTGATTGTGTGCTGGACAGCTGCGTCCTGGACATCATGCTTGTAAAATCACATGTAGAAATAATTTGAAGCCTAGAAAGATAATATATTCCTATAGAGAGTGCCTGGGGACACTAGCAATCCAATCAACTGAATTTAGATACTGAGGTGATTCACACCCAAGCTGTAATGCAGTCTCCTGGAGTTGATCTTTTACTAGTTCACTTTTACTTAAAGTCCTTGGGGTCCCAGGGCAAAGCAAAGACCTTGGGTTCCACTTTTTGTTTTTCTACCTCTGTAAAACAACCCAGTTTCTCAGCCCTTCAAACCTCACTGCCAACTTTGAAATCAGCAAATGCCCATAAGAAGTGGCCCCAGTACCTGGGCTCACCATCTTCTTAGTTCTCCAGTACCTTCAAACTGATTTTTTTTTTTTTAATGTAATTTGTCATTTTTCTAGTTGACTTCAGTGGAAGGGTTACTTGGTCCAGTTGCTTGATGTGTCATATAAGATGTGGAAACCCTCTCTTTTAAAGTTTATTTTTAAAAATAAATACTTCAATTAAATTTCTTTTATTTATTTTTAAAATAAATTACTCTTTAAAAAAAAACACTCAGTGGGTTAAGCCTTTTCCTTCAGCCCAGGTCGTGATCTCAGGGTCCTGGGGTCGAATCCCGCATCAGGCTCTCTGCTCAGCAGGGAGCCTGCTTCCCCCTCTCTCTCTGCCTGTCTCTCTGCCTGCTTGTGATCTCTCTCTCTCTCTGTCAAATAGATAAATAAAATCTTAAAAAAAACACACACTCATAAATAAATAACCAGTAAACATATCTGTCCTTTGTTTCAGAGAGATTAATTATATCTGTTATAAAGACCTGGGAATATTATTTTTAACAATGTACTTACTTCAAAGTAATCTCACTATAGTGAAAAATATATGTAACTAAGATTGGTAGTATAGAATTAGAATTCTTTTGACAGTCCCTTTTTAAAATTTTTTGTTCCTTCACAAACATAGGTTAGTAGATGCAGTAATAATTAGAAAAGCATCAAGATTTGATTGCTTTTTAATTTGTTTACTTTGAGAATGTGTTTGTAAAATAAATCATTTGATTATTGTATTTAATTTTGTTCTGGCAAATATGATTTGAATGAGAGAGTTCAGTTCCTGGTGACGCCTATACATAAATTTAACATTGCCTAAAGGAATGGACTATTTCAAGTAATGTAATTTGTTGTTAGCAGCTTCTTTTCTCATATTGCATGTTTTCACAGATTTAGAGAGGGTAGGATGGTATCAGTAAATGAAGATATGTAATTTTTCCTAATGCATACGGAGATTGAAAAAGGAAAAAGTAGCAATTTCTAACTGGTTACTGACTCAGAACTCTTGCACATTAATATCCGCCTCCCTCCCTTTGTTAGTTTTCTTTTGTGTGAATATGGACTTAAATATCTTTTGGAATATTAACATAAGTTGTATGAGTATGCAAACATTTTTTCTAATGACCTAAAATACCTGGATAAGTGTCCTGGAAGTGTACAAGTTTAACCAAAATGTCACTGTAGTCCCTTCGCTGGGGTGGAGTACTCTCCTTCCAGCTTCATCAGAATTTGCCACCAGAGGGAGAGATAGCAAGGCTCTTTGCCGGCTTTAAGAGAAGGTTTGCACGTGACTTAAGAGACCAACCTGTAGTATTATAACAGGATGGATAGGAGGATAAAGGGGGAAATGGACACTGCGGTCCGGCTGGTGTCAGGGAAGAAGAGGAGGGTGGTGACACGAGAATGAACTTTGGTCCATTGACAGCAGTAGGAGGGCTAATTGGGTGAAAAACGGAGAGAAGCTTGTTTTAGGCTTATCCTTCTAGTTGCTTATTCTGTTACAGATTTTTAGTGATGCTGACAATATTTTTTGAGTAAGTTTTAATGTGATGAAGTCATATGCATATTAATATATATTGCATTCAATTTTGCTCTCTTACAGTGGTTTGATTGTTCCTGAAATCCGGGGAAATGAAACTGTGCCTGAAGTTGTTACAACATCTGGCTATGCACTGTTACATTTTTTTAGTGATGCTGCATATAATCTAACTGGTTTCAACATTTTTTATTCGTAAGTATTTTTTTTTTAAAATTCTGTATTATAATGATTCTTATAACTTGACTTTAAATGATTTATTGTTTTTATAAATGTCTTTTATATGAGGAGCAGGCTAGTGTGTTAAATTTCAAAATTATAAGATCTTTTCCTATGTGACATAAAATCTTAATCATATGCCTTAAAGTACTGTTTGAGTTTGTATTCTAAGTCTCAGGACATTACGGTAGCAAGTTGGGTTGACAATTAATTATGAAATTTAAGATTGTCGGTAAAGGATTAAATGAACAAGTACAAGCTAGGGAGACTTGTAGCAGCAGTCATGTGGGGTCACAGGGCTTCATCTGTGTCTGTGCTCGAAGGTATTTGAAGATGGGCGTGTGAACCAAGTTTGTGGGTCCTTCTGCTTTCCAGAGGTTGTGCTGGACACTCTGTGTACACTACATTCTTTGGTTCTCTTTACAACTGTTCTGTCCAGTGGGTATTTTTCCCGTTTTACAAGTGAGGAAATTAAGGCTTAAAATAAGGTAAATGAATATACCACTGTCTCCTCTAAAATAAGAAAGTGATTTTTGTTAAGACTCTATTATGCGTCTGATACTTTATATAAATTTTCATGCCTGGAAGTCTCACTTCCATGAAGTGGAGGAGCCAGGTGCTTTCATGGGAATGCCCACAGAAGAACCTGATACACTTCTTTTTTTCCTTTTTTTCAGGAATGTAGAATATGACTAGAGAATTTTCCTGCATGAATAAAATGTTCTAAATATCTTCAGACTATTAGAATTTAAAATCAGCAAGCTGTTATAGGATCTATTTATCTCAAGTATATATGCAAGGAAGAATAAATATGTCGTAGAATGTAATTGGTCAAAGGGCTTTAAAATAAAATGCGATAAGCATCCCTATTCTTCCGTGGCAGTGTATAGGTGATAGCATGCTATGTAAATATTATTATATAACCAGGTTAAATCTTAGCTTTTCATTTAATCTCAGGTGTTCTTGAATTTAATTATTTTCTATAAAATGTATATTCAGAACGTTTGAGTACTTAATTCTTTACAAAACATTGTGATTGGAACAGTATAGATCCTGCAAATGTTGAGTGTGTAGTTCTTGGAAGTTTGGAGCCTCAAAGTAAACTCATTGAATGAATTAAAGTCAATTGCAAATAAATATTAACTGAATTGCATTAGGTATAAAAGGGTCCAGAGTAAAGAATTGAAGTCACATTGTGGAATTGGGTTAAACAGAACATATCAAACACAACATAAAAGTGATAAATAAGGTTTACAAAATGTCAATCAAAATTCTTTTTTAATTACTTTGAATTTGAATCTATATGTATTATATTTTACAGAATTAATTCTTGTCCTAACAATTGCTCTGGTCATGGGAAGTGTACAACTAGTATTTCTGTTCCAAGTCAAGTGTACTGTGAATGTGATAAATACTGGAAGGGTGAAGCTTGTGATATTCCTTATTGTAAAGCCAATTGCGGCAGTCCTGATCATGGTTACTGCGACCTAACAGGAGAAAAACTGTGCGTCTGCAATGATAGTTGGCAAGGTAAGCATGTGTGGTGTGATGGCTTTTGAAACATTGATTCATATATTTAATAAGATTAAAAGAAATTCTATACTCATTTGTTTTGTTAGTTTGCACACTCAGATCTCATGTATTTTATTTTTAGAATTTTCAGATGAACAATCAACTTCTTAGGATGTTTGTTTCTTCACAACTAGAGTTGTGTCTATACCCTATTTTGAGAATCAAGTGCTTCTTGGCGATCTTTCTAAATTGTGGGTGTGTGATCAGTATGATATTCTGGAATTTTTGGTTGAATCCTGAAAAATTTGATGACTTGACTGAATTTGATGCAGGTTGCCTTCAAATTTGACTTGTAATGGGTAATAGTATACTGCAAATGCTTGTCTTCATGGTGCTGCAGGATTTTAAATTTATTTCTTAGGAAAGACTGACCTCTTGTGGCTATTTTTTAAAAGAACAGACTATTTTTTGAAGTATTTAAAAAATTTCATTAAGGATTAGTATTAAGGATTTCAGCTGCTTATTCAAGAGTAAGATTCCTGGGGAAGAATTGCTAAACAGTTTTTATAAGTATCTAAGATTAAATATTAATTTTAGACTACATTGAAGAGTTTTAGCTTACTTAAGTATTTGGCTATAAAATCATAAATTTTGTCATTGTGGAATTAAATGAAGAGGTACATCTAGTTATCCATATACTTACCTATCTGGAGCTTACTTTGTGCTAATTGTATTTACATATCTGGAGCTTACTTTGTGCTAATTGTATTTACATACTTACAATATTTACATATTGCTTTGTGTCAGCATGCTAATCCTGTTGATTGAGGCAGTTTTGACTCAAGAAATAAGTAATCCAAAATCACATGATCATGTGTTATAGTACAGTATAGTATAGTGTACAGTATAGTATAGTACAGGGTAGCAGTAGTAGCAGTAGGTCCTAAGTAAAAACCAAAGAGAACGTGCTCCTCATATGGTTGTAGTCATCATTCTTTAGATGACTTTAAGAAAAAAAATGTTACTAAGTATGCTTAGTACTTGTTAAGAGGAATTAATTTAGGCTTTGTATAAATTATGCCCATCTTAAATCCATGTTATCTCATTAAAAAAATTAGTTGCACTAACACAAAATATGAGTGATTTCTTACTGAAATAAATTTGATTACCTATTATGATTATGATAGAGACAGATTTCTCTATGTTCTTTAATTACAAGAGCATGTATTTTATTAAGTGGTTATTTTAATAGTTTGTGATCTTTCTTCTCCTAAAAAGTGCCTCAGTACACCATTTTTTTTTTTTTTTCATTTTAGTCTTGAAACTAAAATAATGTCCTTTTCTTTGGAGAGAATGGTACATCAGGAATATATTTACATTTATTGAAATTAAGGCCTGAGAAATAGAAGTGTAGCTTATACACAGTGTTTTTCAAAGTGGTCTTTAATGGCTCTCAATCTCCCATCTCATTTCAACACTCTTGAAAGCAAAAGAAGAATATATTTGTATGCTATTCTCTGTGAACATCTCTGTTCTTTTTTATTCTTTCTTTCTTTTTTTTTTTAAAACTAGTTCTTCTTTAAAATGCTTTGTTTTCTGGGGGTTTATAAAGTCTAGCTCAAATGTTATCTTTTGTTTTTTTTGGCTTTTGTTTGACCTTTCACATTTTATTATTCTTGTCAGTAGTGCCTTAAGACAAAGGAAATTCCTGACTCTTACATATAAGAAATTGGAAATGGGGTAGCAAATACTGGGCATGTTCACTTTTAAAGCAAAGTGATAATATAAATAGTCCCATATTTATACCCACAGAAATATATCTATATTTTACATATAACTTTTAAAAATAAATATAAAATGTTGTACAGAAGTCAGACCACTATTCTTAATAGATAAAGAGTTGATCTCTGAGCTGATGTGAATGTTTTGAGGGTAGGGTACTTGGTGAAAGTGATATTATGCTTCTTTCATGACAGATGACATACATATTGGTTCCTTTGAGCTTCAGACCTGATCCCTGGTTTTGTATTTAAGGAAGTGTAGCTTAAAGTAGCTGGAATTACTACCAGAACTGCTAGGGAGAAAATGATGTTTCTATTTCAGATACGTAGAATGGGGAGGAAATAAGGGGGAAATGAGAGAGAAATTTGTTTCTAGGACATCTGGGGAATGATCAGAGAACTTGAGATATTTAAAAGTGAGAGCTGAGGAGGCGATTTATGAGATTCAAAATCCGACACGTTTTTGTAATGTGTTATTTGGAATTGGAGTCTTTGGGTTAAAAATAAGATTATTGCTACCTCCATTATATTTTATCCTTTTATGTTGGTTCATTTTACTTACTCTGTTGGGACTATGCTAATATACCAAAAAAAAAAGAAGTATTGCTTTCTAGAAACTGAGATTTTATTAAAGAGGACAAGCATGGAGGGGAAGCCCAGCTTTATGTTAAGTCTTGGATTCCCTTCCTAACATTTCTGTAGTGCTTGTCCCACCTGGCTTCTGTTCCTCTTTCTAATTTAGTTTTTTGTGGGTACCTTTGAAGATTTCTGCTTACCCGTCACCATACTTTTTCCTCCCTTAACTTTTTCTTCTTTCTTCCTTAATCATTTGCTATCATCTTTTTACCGTTTGAGGAATTTTTCCAAATTACAGAGGAATTTGTTTTAATGGAAGATGGCGCCATCAATGTTAACTGCCCCCCCCCTTTCTTATAGAAAGGCATGTTGAGGGGTGCCTGGATGGTTAAGCGTCTGCCTTCGGCCTGGGATCGAGCCCCCATCGGGCTCTCTGCTCAGCGGGGATCCTACTTCTCCCTCTCTCTCTCTGACTGCCTCTCTGCCTACTTGTGATCTCTGTCAAATAAATAAATTAATAAAATCTTTAAAAAAATAAATAAAAATTTATAGAAAGGCATGTTGAAAAGCATACAGGTTTGTTGTATTATGTGTAATTATGTCATAATGTATGGTTGTCAAAGATGATATATACGTATTAGATTATTTAAAGGGTAGGGACCTCTGTGGGCTCATCTGCTTCTGTGATGATTTTCAGTTAATAAAATTATTTAAGTCCTAATAAGTCACAGAAGGGGAAAAGGGAGCTTTAAAAAGTAATTTTCTTTAGAGATGGCTTCCAAACATTAAGACAGATGAGGAATTTTTAAAAGGCATCAAAATCATGATACAACAAATTGAGTTTATGTTCATATGTAGAGAATTTCAAAGCAGCATCCAAGTTGTAGCGTCTCTCCCCTTCCCCCAGGCCATCAATTCCCTAATTAGAGTGGCTCCAGGTTTCTGTCTTTTACATAAATTAAACAAAATCTGAGTCGCTGGAAGTCTTTGATTATGAGCAGAAGCAGCTCTGGCTCACTTGAGCAGAAAAGGCACTTATTGGAAAGCATGGCAGAGACCATTGTTGCCCAGAATTCGTTTTTCCCTTGTTTTTAGCACATGGCCTTCCAGCTGCACACCACATTTCTCAGCCTCCCTTGCAGCTGGTATGGCTGTAGTACTAAGTTCAGGTCGGCAGGACACGAGTGGAAGTGCTCTGTGGAACTTTTAGATCATTGAGATCTTTCCAAATGGTGGTAGATGACAATAACTTTAGTAACCAATATTACTTGCCCATTTGCTTCTAGAATTTTTCATTGGGGAGAAATTGAGTTTTAGCTTATTTAAGCAGCTTAGTTTTGGTTCTCCTAACCTGTACCCTAACTAATACAGAAGGGTCCCCAATAGCTCTGAAGAGAGATGAAAGGCTGGACGAACCTTGGTTGGAAAGGGTCAAGTACAACGGAAAGGCAGGTGGGTAGATTCACGGTTACCTGAAAGATGAAGCCATAGGAATGTCGGATTAGGATATTCATGTCACTCCACTGGACCCTGGGATCCCACTGGCATCCTTACTGTGCATACAACATGCTTCAGGCATGGCTAGAGAGAATTCTGAATGTTTCCTACACCTTTGTATCACTTGTTAAGATTCAGAGTCCTGCTTAGTAGCATCTGTTTGGCTGAGGTCCTACTCATACCTTGGCTGCCTAGAGATATATAAAGAGAATTTAGCTTCTCTGATTCATATAGTAGGAAGGGATCCTGTTTCTGAACAGAATTCACACAAGAGAGATTTTCCTAAACAAGAAGAGGGTTTATATGATTAGAGTCTCTCAAACAAATACAAAATCCAAATAAAATATTTTTTAAACTTTTAAAAAAAGGTTTTATTTATTTGAGAGAGAGAGAGAGAGAGCATTAGAGTGGAGAAGGTCAAAGGGAGAAGCAGACTCCCTGTGGAACAGGGAGCCTGATGTAGGACTCGATCCCGGGACTCCAGGATCATGACCAGAGCCGAAGGCAGTTGCTTAACCAACTGAGCTACCCAGGCACCCCCAAATAAAATATTTTAAAATGTAGATTGTTGCCTTAATTGACAAGGAGTGGTATAAGTAGTTCTCTGATGTCTACTCAGAAAAAAACTTTGCAGTGTGGAACAGATGATGGAAGTAGACAGGTTAAAAAAAATAAACCCATAGGCTTCAGCATCTGATTTTCTTTTTCTTAATCCATTACACAAGACATTTTCCCCCTATTTTATAGAGATGAAAAATAGGTCAACGTCTTTATATACATGACCATTACCTAACCATTTAACAGTTGTTCCTGTGATGTTCCTTTCCTTTTCCAGAATGTCCTGCTTAATCCTACTGTTCAGTCCTTTTGAATGTCTTGAGGATATTCTTTGTTTATAGTATTTCAGTTCAGTTAAGACTTGGTTCTCATATAAAGATTGGAGTTTGTGTTAAGCCTTTAAATTATTGATTAAAAGATAATATCTACATATACAAATCAGAGAATTTGATAGTTTTATATAGAGCCTCTGATTCTTTATTTAAACTCATACTTTATTTGAACTTATTTCAGTTTCTTTCATGCCTCTTTGTCCCTTAGTATTTCACGGCCTTTCTTATTTCTGAATTTCATCCAGGAATACCTTACCCCATTAACATTCTAAGA